GCCCGGGGGGGGGGGTGAGAGGCCGCTGTTGCCGCCCTGGTTCTGGGAAGCCGTCGGGTGTGCGTCTGTGTATAGGTATTGCATATATAGTGCATATATACAGGCACACACACTTCTTACAGTCTTTTAAACTGAACCGATAAAGGCTGTCCGTGCAGGTGACTGAGAACCATACGGCGGCGGGAATGATGCAAATGATCCCCACGACATCCCCGAGGCAGGAGCAGCATAATCTCGTCATCATCTGCGATGGCGTTCTTGGCCGGTGTGCCCTGCGCGGTGACGGACCCGCGCTCGGCAGCTGGTCCCTCGCCTTCCTCCCGCTGGGCGCCGCGCCGGCCGCATCGGCTCTGCCACCGACACGCGGGCCGCACCGCTCCCCGCACGGCCAGGGAAAATCACTGGCCTTCCCCAGCCATAATAAGATTTATCCCTTCGCAGTGACGGTGCAGAGGAATGTACTGACGTGATAAGAGACAGAGGTGGAGGCCCGAATTGCGGCGGAGGGTGGCCAAGATGGGAGCCATCATGAGGGCGTGTGCATCCACCCCAGCCTTCGTTGCCTCCAGAGCCGCAGGCAAGGCATTCCTTGTTTCCACTCGACCTCTGCAATTTGATTTGACACATACCCCAGGAAACTGGCCGTCTGGCTCACGTGCGGAGGTGGTTAGATATGACTTCAGTAAGCAATCTTCCCTCACACCCTGCTCGGTACATGTCTGCACAGGAGCAGTGTCTGGCAGCCCATGTCATGGTTTGTTATTCTGCTGCTGCCGACACCGTACCCTAAAAAAAAAGACAGATTGTTCTCCAAAGAGCATTAGGAAAATGCAGAGATATTTAAGTTTGTTAACAACGTCAGAAGTATTTTACTGGCTTCTGTGGGAAATCATTTGGTGTGCATTCAGCAAATAACACACTGCACATTGTTCACGGATATGTCAGAGCCTAATCAGATCTGTGTCTGTATGGTAGTTCTCTCACTAAGTATGAGTTGGTATTTTACTCAAGATCAGATGATCTATGTAAGCCACAGTTCCTGATCTTATTTACAGCATGAATAATAATATGAACACATGCTTCAAAATATTAATTTGGCTATGTTTGCTTTTCCTGAGCACTTAACTGAGCAACGGTAGTGATGGTTGCGGGCACCATGGATTTCTAGAGACTACTGGAAGTGAATCCTGAATTTGCAGATCACAGGTGTGTGTCAGAAACCTGCTTTTCAAAAATAAAAAGTTACCCGTGTCAGATTCAAGCCCTTCTTGCCACTTTCATTCATACCAAGAAAAAGCCTGATCTATTTTTACTTTTCCTGTGTAAGATCAGATGCTGGGTAAATTCTTCTGAATTACTCTGCCTGACTTCACAGTTCACGTGCTACACGCTATAGCAACGAAGCCTTTTTTAAAACGGGATTTCAAAAGGAAGAAGTACAGTAGGAACTGAAACAAACATTATCAAAGCAACAGAATAGCCGGCTTTCACTTTAGGAATGTATGTCCGTGTTACACATTGGCAGAAATATGCTGAAAGCACACCTGAGACTCCGTCTATGCTAGTACTTCCAGCAGTGCCCGTTCATGGTCGCTGGGACCCAGTCATCCACACTGCTGAACTGCTACAGCAATTCCTGGCGCAGGCTGTGGGTTGGCCTTGGGGCCAGGGAAAAGACCATGACACTCTGGTTGGGTCATATAGATGTAATGTTAGTGTCCTAAACAACTCTTGTTCCTTTTGAAGAAGGTGTAAACATTGATCTACAGCTGATTTCATTTAACATTTTTTCCCGTTGAATTTTGGATGACCTCAAATTCCATCCAAATATAACATTTATTCCTTAAAGACAGAGGAAAATAGGCTTTGTTCGTCTCTCATTCTTCCTTTTCCTACTGTTACACGCTTGGCTCCGCACAGCAGGCAGAGCTGCTGCCAGCTAGGAGCCTCAGCGAAAGGTTCGAATTCAGCCTGTTCTAGAATGGCCGGCACGCCTTGGGTTTCACTGCCACAGGGCCCACAGAGCACCGTCTCCTCTGTCCGCCTGATGGTCAGCACACACAGTGATCTTGCACGAAACATCACAGGGATCTTGCACGGAAGAAATAACGAGACATCAGGGAACCGTAGAGAAAAAGAGGCTAAGCCTGGCAGTGGAAGGAGCACCTGGATGAAAGCTGCCTCCCATGAGGAGAGGAGACTTCTTCCAGAAAGGAGTACGTTTATTTACAACAGATCAACACGAAGCCAAATCCACCTTTGCTACAGCTGCACTGATCTTGGTCAAATAAAACCAGGTTGATTTTGATGAATTACGGTCAATACAATTCCATCTTTGGGGATGTTTATCTCCAGAAGTACCTTCCTAAACAAGAAAAGGAAAAGGCAAACCAAATTGACAGCATCGAGGCAAAGCTTTGATACCTAACCCCGACTTTTGACACTGTTGTATTTCGTAAGCTTCACAACCATGACTTCTGATTTATGCCTATTTGTACGAGAAGCGGGGCCAAGGACGTAGTTGCCTAGCAAGAGAAAGCTATCTCATGAGAAACATCCATTCCAGGAGTTCACTTAAAATGCGCATCCTTGGATTTCTACATTTCATGGAGAATTTATTAAGCTAAAAACAGAACACTGATGTCAAGGTTTACAGTACAAGTTTAGCTTAAAACTGCTGCTGTCCTTTTTCAGTCTACCCTCTGACTGAAAATTTAGGCTTTCCTGAACATTATTATTAGTGATAGAGCCAGAAATTGCTCATGTATACCCAAACATTAACAAAGTTGTTTTCCTGAATGCTGTGAAAAGGCTAAAATATGTCTTATGTATCAGGCAGTCACTGGGAAGTAGCTGATACTAATTTACTCCACAGCAATTATTTTCCTGTGCCCAAATTCCAGAATTCAGGCAGAGGCCAAGCACTCAAATTATCAGGCTGGACAAAGTTAAAAAGCAATTAGAAATGCAGTATCCTTATTTGTTGTGGTGTTATTGTTCCTCCTGTAGCATATGTTCCATCGAAAGAGCAATGTATTTTCATAACTATTTCCAACCTTTAATTTTATCTTGCAGATAATGCCATCTTTGTACAAAAAATGGCTCAGAAGGTGCCTTTTTGTTTCAGTCCAGGGCATTTCACAAAATAAAGGAAACCTAGCTATAGAGTGCTGCTTTCAGGGTGCGATTAGCTTTCTGACACTCCTAGCTGGATCATTTTAGTGATATCAATTCCTAGTTACGTCCTTCTAAACCTCAAAATGGTATCTAAGCCACCCCCCCAAAAAAAACAGAAGTCAAACCATCTTTGTAAAACTGGAGGCCAAGGTTAGGAGTCTGAAATGAACAATGATGTAGAATGTTGCCAGCATATCAACACTTCTAAAATAAAACTAGAATTTCTGTGTACAGCAGGCACACAGTTAAGACTTCCAGATTTTCTTTTTTTAATGTTTCAAACCATGTATTTCAGTCTCTAAAGGAAAAAAAAAAATTAACATTATTTTATAATGCATTTAACTCTTGGTTATGATTTTCAATGCAAAAGTTGCTTTCTCGATGCAGAGAAAACCTACATGGCAGGAGTGCACCAGGTACTTGCCTTCCAGACAAGTTGTTTAAACAAGAAAACTACAGCAGCTTCAGAAAGGGATTTCAGAACAAAAGATCTGAAGTTCCAACTGAGCTAGAAATGAACTATTTTAGCAGGATATTAAACAAACCTCAATACACTGGACTTGAAAGAAAGTAGTCAGAGAGTCACATGTTTAAATTTCTTGATTGAAAGCTATTAGAGAATACAGGGGAAAACGTAAACATCCTCTTCCTCCTGTGCAGTCCTCATTCCAACAACACTTGCCCACTCTCCCCACAAGATAAAGCCATAATCCCACCTGGAGAATGAGCGCTTGCAACGCAAGGCACTTAACTGAAATTTGTTTGTAGCTCCCGGTGTTTGTCTGGACGCCTCAGTTTTGGAATATGACTGCCCACAGTAGGCACATGTTTGCCAATTACCTGGATTCAATTTTTGATGTACTGACGGGAATATAGAAGTATACTTTTGAGTATCAGAGAAAAGGTCTGAATTTTAAAATATGGGTAATGAACTTCTCTACTGTAAACAATAGAAATTTGTCTTTCTGGGTGTCTCAATCCATATAAAAGATGCAGAAATGTACATCTGGTACTTCTGTCGGGCTGCCATCTGTTTTTCCTTTTGTAGTTAGCTATCAATTTCGTATATGTAATGGTATTTTACCCCCGAGTTTCTTACCAAAGAAAATGGGGGGGGGGGGGGGGGGGAAAAATAAAAAAAAAAAAAATTATGGAGGGGGGGGGGGGGCGGGAAATACATACACAAAATAAATTTTGTGTATGAAAAAATGTGAGCAAATACAGTAGGTAAAATTTATTGGGTTCTTATTTGCCAAGATTAACAGGCTCTGCATATATTGCAAAAATACAACTTCCGTCTGAATCCTTTATACACAGTAAGAAAAGTGTATATGCCCACAAAAATTAATAAAAAGCACAATCTGCAGAAGGGTTGTCTTGGATGAACATTCTCGTTTTTGACAAGCACTCATTCACTCAAAGGTTGGTTAACTTTGGGGAAAAGCTTTGAGGCATTTTTGTTGTTGCTTCACAAACTCCTTCCACTGATATGCCTTTCACCGCAGCAATGTGCAGTCAGGCAATCCTGATCTTCTCGGGTTCGTTTCTTTCCTAAAAGAATCAAGAAAGGTCTTTTGTGAGAGAGATCAAGTGACATCAACCTGACCCATCAAAGGACCGTGGGACAGAAGTGATTAGAGAAGCCATGCAGATGCAGCCAGCTGCATCTGAGTAGGTTGGCTTGGTTTGCCTACAGCGCGAGGAACTGCTAGGCTGCAGTTCATCCCGTCCTAAATAGTACACTGGGGAGATATTGCAGGTTTACACTAACACAGCCCATCTATCCACTCAGCGTATAAGAATTCAGTAACGTGAGAGGAATTGCTCCCTAACAGTTTTCTCTACTGGCTATAGCGGGATCCCAAGTGCCTAACCCAGATGGATCCATTCTGTGGATGCAGAATGTCCGCTGAGAGCTCCCGCTCCCTGCCTCATCTACGTAGGAATAGAGAGCAATGTTGAAGCAATTAGCTGGTGAAACCACCGGTCAGAGCGACAAAGATAAAATGTCCTCTCCACTTCTAGGAGGTCTCAGATAACTTAAGAGTTACAACAATTTAAGGCACTATACTCATGAAAAAAACACCATAACATAACTTAAATTTCCCAACTCTCTTTCACTACCTGATTCATTGCAACTTACTTGCCTGGCCCATGCACACACATCCTTTGAAAATTAAATGGAAGGGACATGTGAATTTGGAGCCATTAAGAGCCTAGTACAGAAATGTGCTTGTATTTTAGAGACAGATTGCTCACCCAAGCTTGAGAAATGTTGCTACTTTTACTATTAAGGAAAACCAAATATTTAGTAACAGCTTGAAGTTCCCAGCTTCTCTCTGAAGAGGTTATCAGCAGGGAGAGAGCCATGTTC